CTGTTGTTAATAAAAAGTTTTCAAATAATGGGATGAAAAGGGAGGTGAAATTGAGCGGCCCTGGCCGTATTATTTCTTCTCCGTATGGGAGCTGGCCTCTCGCGGTCTCCCCGACGCTCTCTGACCAGAAGGGGATCGCCAGCTCGGTGACCACTCCTGCCCCAGGGCCAAAGCAAATGATTTGCCTTTCTGAAGCTTCAAAGAGGAGCAATTACACTTAAGTAACCAAATGAATAGATAGCCCAGCTTGGCAGCAGTTTGGGGGAAACAGTGGAGGCCTTTGAGGGAAGAGGCACCACACCTTTGGAGTAATATGTAACAGCTCACGTACCCGAGAGGGGAGAAAGAAGAAAATAAACAAGTGAATTGTCTGCCAGTGGATTCAGAAGGAAAGAAATGTGCTGAAACTGACCCAAACCAAAACAACAACATCATTGAGAGTGGTTTACCAATCCAGCCGATAGCTTTTAAAGTAATTGTTGCCTTGCAGAAACAGCAATCCAACTGCTGTAGCATCTCACAAACACATATCATGCAGGACTTATGTTCTCTGATGATTTCTGCTGTGACCTCTCTGATTGGTTTCATAAATAACTAACCAGTCGTAATGCAATTAGTGCATGCACAAACTTCAAAATGTTTCTTAAGCCTAAATATATGCTAAATTAAGACATAAATCGCTGTGAAAATATATGTTGCACCAACATTAATTGCAGTCTTGAGAATGCTGAGTTGTGATTTTTTCTGAGTGGCACACATGAAGCCAGCCTCTGCCCGATGATAAAAGGCTTGAAAAAGGCTCTATTGAGTGAAGTGGAGACTGGGAGTTTGGTAGGGGAGCTCACCTGTGGAGAGGAGTCTATAGCGGCATAGAAGGCCCAGCAGCTGCCAGGGTTGTAAGTCTAGGCTCCTAGTGGAGCTGCAGAATGGGAAATGCAAGAAGCTCTTTGAATGTGCTGCCACTTAGTAACAGAAGGCATGTGCCAAACTTGCAGAATGAGAATGAAAACTCCCCCTTCGGAGTTCACTAAATATCAGCAGTGACCCTCTTTTCATCCCTTCCACCCTCTTTTTTTTTCTTCTTTCTCCTTTAGTCTATTATAATTCCTCCATAAAAGAACAATAGTTGAGTGAAAGACCCCCAAACCACAGAGATATACCAACAATCGGCAGGGAGAGAAGAGCAGGGGGGAACTAGGCTGAAGTGTGGAAGCCATCAATTACAGAGGGCCTAAAGTTAACATCCCAGCAGGATATGAGCATTAGCATGCAGATATAGACAGGCGATGGGCAGCAGATGCCAAGTGGAGCGGTCAAAAGAGCACCTCGGGGCTCCAGAGAGGACATATGCAACGTGAGAGACTCCTGCCTCCGCTGCCTCGCCCTGGAATCTACAAAAGAATAGAAAATTCAACTGAATGATGATTGCAGTCAGAAGAACCATTGTGTGCAACTAACTGGAATTATGGGTTCGAAATGTGACAAACAACTCGCATGTCACGTAATGGTTGCCAGTGCACACGGCTGTGGTGCAGGCTCAGTAAATCACACCGGCAGCAGTGAACGAACGTGGGGGTGCACCCCTGCAACAAGTGGCCCCCGCGAGCAAGACGCACCGTGATTCCTCCACACGGGACGTCCAAACAGGATTACTCCGACTGCTCAGCACTCCAGCCTGCAGGCTATCTTCACGGTCACTACAGTGCGGTTGTATTTTCAGGCTCATTAAGTAATAGCACAAGTGGAGGTGGGCAGGGGGCGCTTCTCTCCGCCACCAACAACTTTCCCGTCAAAGCTCTGTTCAGGGGTCGAGAAAAGAGAGCAAAGTATAAAAGGTGGAGAGAAGAGTTGCGAGGCCTTATCAGGTTGTTTGTGTTTACCACGTCAGTTTGTTTGGTAGCTGAGGAGGAGGAGGGTGAGGAAGAGGAGGAGAGCCTGCAGAGCTGCTGCTCCTGAGAACCAATCCGGCTGCTCGGTTGCGGCTCCATTCAGGCCCAACTCATGCCTGTTTATTTGAAAGAAACCCCGTTCTTTTAACTTCCCACCCTCTCTATTGTTCGGTCGCTCATGGGGAGGACTTTGAAATTGTAATCTCGGGTTATTCAAACACACACACACACACACACACACACATTTGTTGCAACCTTTGGTGCCTGCAATAACATTATTGCTCAGTGACAAGCATTGTTAGCTTGAGTCTACAGTGTGTTCAGCCACGTTTGCCTCCGGAGGTTTGCAATGTTCTGTGATTAGTCCGAAAATGAAACAATGCTGGCTGAGAAATGTGCAAAATTTAAATAATTGTAACATTTAGAACATAAAAGAATAAATTAAAAAAGCAGTTTTCCACAAAGCATTCCTATTTATGAAAACATAAAGACAAATAAATGTTTTAATGCTCCTAGAGTTTCAATTTTTCTTGATTGTTGTGGTCCTTAAACGATGTGTTTCTGTGTGTGTGTTTGGAAAAAACGTAATAAAGTTAAAAGTTTGACGAAGCTGAATTTTGTGACATGACGATTTGTTGTCGTCTAAAAGTCTTTCCAGTCAGTTATAATCTGGAAACATCATCATACTCTATCAAAAGCCGTTCTCTGTTTGTTTTTTTGATTGTGTTTTGTAAAAATGTGGGTTTTCTTTAGAAACTTATGACTTGTTATATTTCCTGAAATGTTATCGAGCTTCATTAAAACCTTGTTTCCAAGAATCACTTTATTTGTCCCGTGTGGGGTCTTATGAATGCAATCCAATATAATATATCTTAAACCACCCTTATATAGATTGTGCAAAAAATGAAAAATAATGAGAGAAATGTGAGAAAATAACGTTAAACGGAGAATCACACTAAATTTAAATGTTGTTGCTAAAATGCAACTGTTTTGTAACAGTGTTGTATTTGTGGTTTACTTGATGCATTTAACATCTGAATTAAATACAGTTTATTTATTAAAGATTATATTATTGAAATGTTAAAAAGAGCAGGGCTATTCAAGAAAACTGCTCAGGGGGCCACAGTTTCTGAAAGCCAGCAACTCAGGGACCGGACATCCAGCGATTAAAGTCATTATGGAAATAAACCAATTATTACAATGATCTGTTACCTTTTAAATTTGTTTATTTTATTGCATTTAATCATAAATACAATTAACAGAAACTAAAACCCAAACCCAGAACCACCCCCAATTTTATTTTTTTAATGAAGCGGGCCTGATTGAAGTCACCCACGGGCCGGAATTGGCCCACGGGTTGCCAGTTGGATAGCCCTGGAAAATTTATTGGGATTTGATGTTCTTCTGAAAAAACCACCAGACTCATTATTAACAAACGTGTTTCCTGCAAATACCAAAAATATATTTTTTCAACAGCCTCAAACTATTTATTATTATATAAAATCAATTTAATTCCGTGTATAAAGTTATGTTTAGTGCAGTAATTTGCAAAATTTTGTCATTTGTAAAGTTTATAAGTTAGCTGCTGTTTGGCGTATTGTTTTTGTACTAGTGCTTAGTGTATTTTTAGTTAACGTTTTTATGAGTTCATATCTTAGATCTTATTACCGTTTTTCTTTTACATTTTATACTCATATTGGATGTAACTGGGATCCTGTGTACACAATTTCATTCCACCTCATGCACCACGTGTGGTGCGACTGACAAATAAAGAAACTCTGACTCTCTCATCTAAAACCTTATAAATTACTTACTAAGAACAGGGATTAAAAAATAGTGATTTACTTTGCTTAAATAATCTATTCTGTATTTAAAAAAAACTCTTTTTGTAAATGTATGCAATCTCAACAGTGATTGGGATTATTATACTTAGCAGCACAACAAGGTTTTGCTGCTATTATAGTAAATAAAGTGATCCGGAATGAAAAAAATATTTATATATTGTCCATTTCACTGAGTTTAAACAGCCTAAATTGGCTGATTTTTTTTTTATTAAGTGGGGGATAAACACCAAACTGCAGTAATTTACACAATAGCTGCTGGTTTTGAGTCTGCAGTGAAAGAGATGATTGCTGCTGCTGCTGCTGGGGGTTTCTTTTCTCAGATATACTTCATCTCATCCTTGGCTGCTGAGAGCATCTGAGATCGTGGTGACATTCTTGGGTTTGTGAGCGGGACCACAGAGTAGCCACACAGAGCTCCTCGTCCCAAGAGCGCGACCGAACTCGCCCACTCACATTGTTTCGAGACTTTCCTCAAGTATGTGGATTTCTATGGCCGACAGCAGGCCAGATGAAACTGCCAACTGCATTGTCACCACTTGTGGTTTTTTTCCTCCTTAACGATCTCTAAACTGGCACCAGGAACCCTCTCAATGAAAACCTTTGTTTTAGAAGGAGCAGCTAAAAGATCTTATTGGGGAGGAAAAAAATTAACCAGTGAGCAAACATTAGTTTCCAGCACTGCTCGCTAATGAAACCAGTTTGTGTGTTGGTTCGACTCGAAAACAGCAGCTGTAAAACCGTGGGACGCTCCGTTTCCTGATTGCTTTTTTACAGTCCAAAAAAGAAGCCGTGATGGAGGCAATTTGCTTCATCCTGCTCTCGCACGGAATATTTCCCTCATTACCCGACGCTCAAACACAGGGCACTCGATGCCACAAGAGGAAGTGGCTTTGGCAGAAAATGTCAAACCGGCATTTAAGTGCAGGACTGAAGCCGGTCTGATGCAAATGGAATCATCTTGTTAAGTCAAATGAAAGGTCAAAGAAATTTCCAGAGCGCCGTACAACACAAATAATTGTTATTTCAGCTTCCTTATGTGAAGAAGGTGAACAAATTAAAGAGCTGCGAGAGGCGGAACACTTGCAGATGCACATCTGGCCTGCGTGAGGAAATTATAACCGAATTTTCCCGCAGATTGTTCCTTTCAGATAACTTTCTGCAACTCCTTCTGCCACTTCCAGAAAGAAAAACAAAAAAAGCGAGGAGTTGTGTGGCAGCACTCTCTTGAGTTCAACGCCCCTCAAGCCTGTGATACTGGTTTTAGTGCCACTCCATATACAGGGATTACTGGTAAATTCGATGATTTGCACCCACCTCTAAATAAATCTGTGCTTAAGCTTCTGAATTACTAGAATCAAACAAATTCAAAACACAGAGACCGCCAACAAGGGTGAAGATGAGGAGATCATGCCCATGTCTTTGTATCTGTGTGCATCTTTGTCACATTAGCAACATATCTACTGATTCACTTTTAAAGATGGCTGTCAAAGCAAATCACTCTCAGCAAACACAAAAAAAGCTACAACTCAACCAATTGTACAGATACTGAGCAAGATTTGGAGTGGTAGTTTCTGAGACTGATCTCTTACTAATACTCTGAACAGGAACTGGGCAGTGGGCCATAAGCATTCCTGTAAGGAATATCAGAGCTTTAATAGTGTGAATGTTTATGAAGCATTCACACTATTGTGATCCATTTTTCTTCCATATGTTCTGCATCTTTCTAGTTCCACAATTTTTGTACCATTTAACAAATCATTTATCAAAATGTTCAGCTCGTTCAGGAGAAAGGTGCTGTGACTTTTCGTATTGGTGCATCTTTAGCTTTCTTAAATATTTAGCCTTTTTTGAAAAATTTCCTCATAGAAAATGAACTGAGCTCATTTTACATCCTTCATGTCTTTAGATCTGTTTAAAACTTTTACTGCTCCTTTCACATTTTTGTTCAGGTTCAGCTTCTTTCAGCTTCCATGTGCTAATTTAAACTTGTTTCAGCTACTTTCAGCACTTTTTTCAGCTGTTTTGTGCTCCATTTAGATTATTTCTACCAAGTACAACATTTTTATGCTCTTTTCTGCTAATTTCAGCTCATTTATGCGTTTTAGCTTTTTCTGCTAGTTCAGCTACTGTTCAGCTGTTTTATGCTAAATTTAGCTTTTTTGACTAATTCCACATTTTTTGCACTCATTTCAATTATTTTCAGTCTAATTCCGCAAAAATGTGCTCTCTCAACTTTCTTCTGGACATTGAAGCTTCATTCTGCTTTTTTTTTTAGCAACTTTTCAGCTGTTATTTGCTAATTTCAGTTTTTTTTAAATAATTTCCACTTCTTTGTGCTCATTTCTGTTTCTTTAAGCCTAATTGGGCAAACCTGTGCTCTTTCTGCTATTTTCTGGTAATTTAAACTTGTTCTACCTTTTCAGCTAGCTTTTTTTTTTTTTTTTAGCACTTTTAGCCAATTTCAGCTGTTTCCAGATATTTTATTTTTTGGGTGTGGTAATTTCTGCTACTTTCAGCCTAATTAACCTCTTTACGCTAATCGTGTCTTGTTATACTCCTTTCAGCCTATGCATGCTAATTTAAGTTATGTCAGTTACTATTTATGCTAGTTTTAGCTCTTTCAGCGAATTCAACATTTTTTTTAGCTCATTTCAGCTTCCGTCTGGTAGTTTCAGCTTCTTTCTGCCTTTCAGCTAATTTTCAGCATTTTTGTTGTTGTTGCTATTTTCAACTTTTTTAGCTGCTTTCCTAATTTTTCTGCTAATGTCTGAATATTTAAACCAATTTCAGCAAATATGTGTTCTTTCTTCTACTAACTTAGGCTTGTCCTTCTATTTCAGCTACATTTCAGCAGGTTTTATTTTTTAGCTAATTTCAGCTGTTTCTCAGCCAGTTCTTCAGCAATGAGCATTCACACTGCATTTTCGCAGGAAATGCAATTTCTCTCGTTTACAGATCAGGACAAGCTTGTTATTTTTTGGAGGTCTCTGAATAAAAAATATGACACGAGAATCATGAGAAAAGCTCACGAGTTAAAACTGTTTTTTCACCCCATGCCACCACTTGGCCCCCGATCTTCATGGACCAGATAAGCGGTTTCATCAGATCTTGTTTGTCCGGAGGAAGGCCCCTGAACATACACGTGAAAAGGTTTCATTTCTGGTGCCAGCTGAGGGGAAAGTGCTTCCCATCGCGCTCGCATCGGCCTTGAAAGGCAGATCTGCTTTCAGACTCGCTAACACCTTCTGACATAGCTCACTTGCCTGCATGCTGTTACAAAAATGCCTTTTGGGGAAGGGGAGAAGAGAAGAGGGGAGCGGGGGGGCGCTCAAGACTTGGCCAAACACTAGAAGACAAAAAGTAATGGGACTTCTTGTGTAGATTTGTCTCTGGGTGTAGCCGTATCGGATGAATCTCTGTGAACTTCATGGCCTGACTCTCATCCCGCTCCTTAGATGCCGGTTTCGGACTTGAGACGCATTTGTTGGTATTCAAACACAAACCAGCTGGGTGACGAAAGGCCCTCTGCAGCATGTGAGGAGACAGAAGGCTGGTTTCGTCTGATAGGAAATGAAGGAGCAGACTCAACATGAGGATTTACTCCGGCTGAACCATCAACCAAAAGTTGCGCCTCCGATACGATGCAGAGAAAATTGCACTTTGCACCTGAGGGCTTTCAGGAGGTCAACTTCAGTGACCTCCATAAATCAGTTTTGTCAGTCAAAGAATTGTTTGTTCTCCACGGCGTTTGGAGCAAAATGGCAGATTCTGTAATAGCATGACAGTCATATGATGAGTCAAATGTGGAACACGTTTGTTAAGAAATGCTTTGCCACTTCTGTACATGACATGTCTTAAATGTTGTTTCATTTGCTGGAGAAATATTCACAAAGTGAGCAAAGAGGAACGAGAGGCAGAGGGCTGTGGTTTGCATAAAAGCTACGAGGAAAGTTTGCCTTCTCAACACTTCCTGTGAATTCGATAGGTCTGATGGCAGCAGCGTTCTCAGCAGGTTCTTGTGTTGGGTTGGAGGCCACAAAGTGCTGCTGACACATTCAATGGGACGTCAGCTGATGTGCTGAAAGAGAAGAATTTTGATGATCAACTGAGCATCTGAGAAGACTGGATGTTGTTTATGAAAAGTGAACACCATAAACTAGTCTTATGAGCTCATTTGACAATAATTGTTTTTGATAATTTGCATGGTTTTTATTTTTTTTCCCATAGTAAAGGTCATTTAAAGTGATTTAACAGCTGATAGCTCATCTGTTGTATAGTTATTTATATAACCCCAGTTTGAAGACGTTGAATTTTAACCTGACTGACGAGCTAAAGTCTGAGTAGAGTTGATCCTTGATGGCTGGGAAGTAGGGGTGTGAAAGGTGCTGCAACACCCCCTGAGGCATGTCAAAGGACACGCTGGTCCAAATACGTGTGATATTATTGAAAAAGTAATTTAAAATATAACTGATTTTATTACTACTGCGTATACAGTAGTCCCTCGTTTAACGTGGGGGATCTGTACCCAGAAGACCCGCGATAAGTGAAAAACAGCGAAGTAAGAATAGTAGTACAAGTAGTAGTTTATTATATATATATTTATTTATTTATATATATATGTATGTGTGTATACATATATGTGTGTGTGTGTATATGTGTGGGTGAACATCCCAGTCACTACCATGCTCTATGGGAGTCCCACAGAGTAGTATACTGGGTCCATTGCTTATTTTTACTATACATAAATGACCATACCAAAATATCTAATCACTCCAATATTTTAATGTATGCTGATGATACTA